ATAAGCCTGTTCATTCCACTTGACTTCTGCCGCCAAGGATCTGAACTCTAAAGCATAATCCACGAGGGTTCGGTTATACTGTCTAAGACGTAACAGTAGTCTAGCTGCATTAGCCTTTCTTCCTGGGGGGTCAAAAGCTCTCCTAAATGCAGCGACAAAAGCATTATAATTGTAAACTAACGGGTTATCATTTTCCCACAGGGGGTTAGCCCATCTAAGTGCCTTGTCAATGAGCAAGGTGATTATAAATCCAACCTTCGCCCTGTCAGTAAGGTAGGCGTGGGGTTGCAACTCAAAATGAATACCTATCTGGTTTAAAAAACCTCGACAAGTGTCAGGAGCGCCGCCATAGCGTGACGGGGACGTAACACGGGAAGAAGTAGCCACTGTGGCTACCTCTAGACCTGTACTTATAGGAGAGATAGATGGGGTACGCATCTCCTCTGAGTGATTACTAGGACGAGATAGTAATGCTTGCAGAGCTAGAGCCATCTGGTCCATTCTATGATCCATGGCCTCAAATCTAGAGTCAGGAGAACCGACCTGAGAGTTTGTACCTGCAGGATCCATTGGCCCTGTCGTAATGTCAGGATCGTGACAGGGATCCAACACGCAGAATACAAACAGGAGATAGGTACGTATACCGGACCTTAGAATGGCCGGACTAACGTAAGGAGAAAGCAAAAGAATGGTCAGAGACAAGCCGAGGTCGAGGGAACGAGAGATCAGGTAAGCGAGAGACAAGCCGAGTAAAAGGATAAGAGAGGAAAGCAGGGTCAAAAATACAAGCCGAGTCAGGAACCAAAAGAGTGACCAGACTAGCTAGAACCACGACAGGGCAATGAATCATTCCACAGAACCCTTTTTTATACCTTGGCTCTTTAACTGTTGGCTCCGCCCCCAACGAGTCCTGATTCGTTGTTCGGCACTTGGTTGCCGTGATTGACGGGTCGGAACGTGATTGCCGTCATGACGTCGGCTACTGAGCGCCGCGTCATAAAAGGAGGCGGAGCTATCGCGGCCGGCGTGTAAACGGCCGGGAGGAGTGCAAGGAACGGGTGAGTCAGCCCCCCTAGGAGGATGGACGTCTAGGTGTCTAACCTCCTCCGAGGTAGACACCAAAGGTAACCTGACAGAGGAGGGCCAAGCAGCAGAGCTCCAAACGCCGCCAGGTAGGCTCCATTACCAAACATCCCAGCTGCATCAGTTAAGAGAGGAAGTGCTTTGCTAGAGGAGGGGCCTGACTCCCAGAAACAAACACCATTGAAGTGGTACAGGAAAGTTTCCCAAACCTTGAAATCTTCAATCATGTCAGAGGACAATGAAATCCTTGACCTACCATCAGGAGACCCAAGCAGAGGCGACTCCAAGCACCTAAACATCCTCCCCATGGGGATGACCCTGAGAGCAAAATTAAGTAGGTAGCAGAGACTGGTAGGATGCCAAAGACATGTATCGTGCCACACTGAAATCAGCATTTTCTTCACCATGTCCCGAGGAAGCCTGTACAACATCCTTGAGGTATCAATATTAATAGCCAAGAAAGTCAGTACAGAGCAAGGAACCTCCAATTCATCGACAGCCAAGAGAACCCCAACATCAGGCATGAAGCTTCAGTAGATAAATCTACCAAACACTGACCACCCCCTAGCTCATTAAGTTCAAAGAAAACCATAGGAATTAGTGCTCTTCTCATGCTGGAGAAAATGTCGGCTATCTTGTCGCACGAAAAGAGGCAGCGGGACTTGGTCATCAAGTGTCTGGAACTCCAAGTCGGACACTCAACTCCGCGAACACCAGTCAACTTCGTGAACGCCTGCATCTTTTCAAAGACAAGTCAGGAGAGCGCTGTTCGGTAGCTTTGTTCCCGCGAACAAGGCGAACAAAACCTACCTATGAGCCAGGGGAGCGGTTTGGAACTCCTAAAATTGATCTAGAGGAATTTCAAGGCTTTTCATGTGCGTATTTAGATGATATCGCCATCTACAGCCGCACATGGGATGACCACCTAAACCACTTATCTATGGTACTGAAGCGGATTCAGGAAGCAGGGATCATTTTGAAGCACGTCAAGTGCCATGTAGGTATGGCTTAGTTGCAGTACCTCGACCATAGGGTAGGTTCTGGCAAACGGCGTCCAGAACCCGCCAAGGTAGAGGCTATTGCCAACTGGCCACGGCCTCGTACGAAGACACAGGTTTTAGCTTTCCTGGGGACCGCAGGCTATTACAGCAAATTTGTCCCTGAATATTGGGCCAAACCCCTCATGACCTGACTAAAAAGTCCATTCCCAAATATATTTTGCTGCGTTCGGTAGATAAATCTACCGAACACCGACCCCCCCCCCCGGCTCATTAAGTTCATAGAAAACCACAGGCATTAGTGCTCTCCCTGTGTGGCCAGCGTTCGTATAACGAGGCCATCTTGGTCAGGACTTGGTCGAACGGAACCGTTCATTGTTTTGTTCGGTTTGGAACTCCAGAATGGTCGGTGAAAACTTTACCCCGGTGGCGATTCGGCTGTGTTTGTGGGATCTGAGCGCTATTTGGACAACTTGGGCACTCAGATCCAGGCTATCCGGGGATATGACAATTATGAGGGTTCCTATATGTTTTGTGTGTATTATTATGTATTTTTAGTATTTAGTATTTTATTCAGAGTCATGGTAACTCACAATTTCCTGGGCGTGTTGTGGGAGTTTTTCTGGGCATGTATATTGTACTCTTAAATTTCATAAAAGCTGAGTTAGGGGCACTTCCGGTCTCACGGAGCAGCCGCATGGAGTGAGAGCTCCGAGACCGGACCGGACTAAAGCGGCAAATATCACCGGCTAAGGGAAGAAGAAGTGCCCTCCACTATATCCCAAACCTGTGGGGACCTTACCCTGCCGAATGGCGCCCCCAAAAACACAGTGGGCGTCGTATTTTTTCCGACAAGGTAGGAGGGACAAAACGCGGCCGGAGCAAGATGGCGGCGGCTCACACTCCCCAACACCTGCCTCGGATCAGGGATCCGACACAGAGGCACTGCAACCTCCCCCTGGGGATATTTCTCTCTCGGAGGCAAAAATGGCGGCAATGCTGCAGGAGCTCCGCTCCTCCATGAAGGAGGACTTACAACTGGCTGTTAATGACATCCGAAGAGAGGTGCACGAGGTGGGGACCCGCCTAAATGCCCTTGAGGAGAAAACTGACGACTTATGCCAGGCTAATGACGGCATCTTGGACAAGATTCGCCGAATGGAATCGGAGCAAGTGCGCCTAACAGCCAAACTGGCGGACCTCGAGGACCGATCGTGCCGCAATAACATCAGAGTGCGCGGGGTCCCGGAGTCTATCGCAGGGCCGGATATCCCGGAGTATCTTCGGCAACTCTTCACGGCGATCCAGCCTAGCCTGGAACCAGCTGACCTGCGCTTAGATAGGGCGCATCGGGTACCTAAACCCGCTACGCTGGCACGAGACATACCGAGAGACATTGTCACGAAGCTACACTATTTCAGCGCCAAGGACGCCATACTTACGGCGCAACGAAAATCTACGGCAATGCCACCGGGCTATGAAACGATCTCCCTATTTGCTGATTTGTCTCCTATGACAATAGCGAGAAGAAGAGACTTTATAAATGTCACAAAATGCCTCCGGAACCACAAGATCACCTACCACTGGGGCTTCCCCACGAAATTGCTGATCTGGAGAAATGGGACCCTAACGAAGCTGGAGGACCCAGACCAGGGCATGCACAAGCTGAAAGCTTGGGGACTCTTCCCGGACCACGCGCCGCCCAACCACCCAGCGACCCCAGGACAAGTGGCCCAGGAGTGGACCAAAGTCCAAAGGAAGAAGTGAATGATTTGTTCGGCCTCTCCCACTGCAACAGACTGCCAGGTCGACTGATGCCATGTGAGGTGAAGACGTCTCCGCCTCAGAAGCGGTAGAGACTCTAGCTGGACTCACCCCCTTTTTCTTTTACCTCGGGGGAAAAGCTTGATTGGTGTTTGCAGTCTGAACCTTCACGTGAGTACATGTGACAGGAGGTGGCCCATAGGAGCTGACACACTGCTACCCCATACGCTGCACTTTAAAGTCTCAGCTATATGCGGCTCCCACCGGCAATGAGGTTGGCCTTAGCCCCTGGTTGTCCCGACCACATCTATTCCTATACAACCCGAGGCACCCTGATGGCATGCCTAGTGGCACGGCCCATCTCACCAAGATGACCAGCTTTACCCCCGCAAACTCGGGTGGCTCCTACACTTGCTGTGCCCATGTTACACCCAACACAAGACCCTCTCCTTCCCTCTATTCATATAGTCCACCACCGGTCATAGACCCTCTCCTTAGAGCCCCCCCCCCCCACTGCCGAGACAACCCTCTGCGGTGCTACCCCTCCCCACCGTGAGGAGAAAGGTGCACCTGCGGACCAGTCTCCACATAATGCTATTAAGCTTATTGAAATGTATATACTTTTGTTATGTTTACTGTTTTTTATCCCCATGTTACACTCTACCCTTGAATATGCACCCCATTAGAGATGTCGCTCACCCTGGGCCTTGGAGGTGCTGGGGGATTAGGGACGCAACCCCCCTTCACCAAAGAGTACTACCTTTGTCTGTAAACCAGTTTGGTAAATGCTGCCTCGGAAACACCGAGCCCCCCCCCGGTCTCAACTGATGTCTTCCCAACACCAATTTAATGTTCTGTCCCTAAATGCCCGAGGCCTGAACACTCCGCAAAAACGCAGGCTTGCCTTCTCCCAGCTCCGCGCCTTGCACGCTTCAGTAGCCTGCATACAGGAGACACACTTCTCGGCAATAAACCCCCCAAAATTCCTCTCAGCCAGGTACCCCGTCTCCTACCATGCTTTAGCGCCCAATAAAACCAGGGGAGTCAGTATCTTAATCCACTCGGACTGGGCCTTCACGTGCACGATAGAGCACAAAACCGCTGATGGTAGGCTACTGATTCTGGTGGGTAGGCTAAACGATATCCCGGTCACCTTGGCAAACCTTTACGCCCCTAACTCCAACCAATATGACTTTATCAGGAAATCCCTAAAAACGCTGGACAGGATAAAACAGGGCCAAACTTATGTCTGCGGGGACTTTAACTGTGTACTTGACCCAGACCTGGACAGATCTGGCACTCCAGGTTCCCACCCTCGCTCTGTATCTATCGGTGACAGGCTCTCAGCTCTCTTACACTCCCATGGCCTTCACGACACGTGGCGCTCCCTCTACCTGGCCACCAGAGATTATACTTTCTACTCGAAAGTCCATGACCAATACTCCCGCATTGACATGTGCCTGGTGGATGAGAAATCCCTGGACACTCTGACTAGGGTCACCATCGACTCAATCACCTGGTCAGACCATGCCCCTTTGCTGTCCTCATTCACCACCTTACATCCGGTGAGAGGACGGGGCACGTGGTGCCTCAATGCATCCCTCATAGATAGCGCTGAACGGGCTGCTGAGATAAGCAAAATCATAGTGAATTACTTTGCGGACAACAAGCCCCAAGACACAACCATGGCTGCGACGTGGCTGGCCCATAAGGCCGTGATACGAGGTGCACTGATTAGGGCTGGAGTGACACTAAAACGCAAAATAGAGGAAACCAGCAGAGCAAAGCTCAGGGACCTGAGGCTTGCGGAGGACCTCCACAAATCCTCACCCTCTGACGTGACACAACAGGCTGTCAATGAGATTAGAGCTGACTTGGAAGTCCACCAACTCCAGCGAGTTGAGAGGGCTCTCCGCAAACTCAAAAGTGAATATTACAGACAGGGGAACGGGGCGGGGAAATTGCTGGCCGCTCAACTGAAAGACAAACACGCCCAAACGCGCATACCATACCTAGTAGATAAAAACGGAACGAAACTGACGAACCCCAAGCTGATAGCTGATGAATTTGCAACATTTTATGGTGCCCTCTATAACCTGGGGAAAGATCCTCTACAACACCAGCCGACCCCAATGGAGATAGCCGCCTACTTAGACAAAGTGGAACTCCCCCAGCTCACCAGCGCCCAAGCCTCACTACTCACCAGCACAATCACTCCAGAGGAAATCTCAAAAGCACTTAGAGAAACCCCCCGACATAAAGCCCCAGGGCCTGACGGCTTCTCCGCTCACTATTATAAGACCTTTGAGGACCAACTCCTTCCCCACATGACCTCCCTGTTCAACAACATCATGGAGTCAGGCTCCATACCCCCCGAAATGCTAGAGGCCACCATAATTACTATTCCCAAGCCGGGCAAGCCCACTGAATTTTGCGCGAACTATCGCCCCATCTCCTTGCTTAACACGGACACAAAGCTCTTTGCTAAAATTCTTGCCAACAGAATACGCCCCCTCCTGGGCACACTCGTTTCTCCGGAACAATCAGGTTTTGTCCCGGAACGGCAGGTAGAGGACAACACAAGGCGTGCACTAGACATAATGGAACTCCTGACAGTACATAGAACACAGGGACTACTAATGGCCCTTGACGCGGAGAAGGCCTTCGACCGGCTACACTGGGGCTACATGACGGAGGTCCTCCGCAGGTTTGGATTCCCCGACAAATTTCTCAATGGCCTCCGGTCATTGTATTCCTCCCCGACGGCCGTGGTGGTGAGCTCTGGTTTCACCTCTCGACGCTTTGCCCTGACAAATGGCACGAGACAGGGATGCCCATTGTCGCCCCTTATCTTTATCTTGTCACTAGAACCGCTAATGCACACAATTAAGCAGGAGGAGTGCGTCACGGGTATCCCCACACTAATAGGTCCCCAAAAAATAGAGGCCTTTGCTGACGACATCCTGCTATTTCTGTCTAACCCGACAGAATCACTGAAACATCTCCTACTCCTGCTCCATGATTATGGCCTAGTGTCCTATTACAAAAACAACGAAGCAAAGACTCAGGTATTACCCTTTAACGTGCCCCACCCTCACCTAACTCCCCTGCGAGCTCAGTACCCCTTTGACTGGCGGAAAGACAATCTCTCCTACTTAGGTACAAAACTGGCCCCCTCAAGACGCAACCTACTCCGACATAACCTTGACGCCTTGTTAAATAAAACTGAGACACTGCTGGAGAGCTGGGGGGCAAAAAACACATCATGGCTGGGACGCATAAACTCCATAAAAATGATCATACTCCCCCAAATATTATTCCTCTTCAGGGCCCTCCCCATTGAGATACCGAAGGGGCTACTACAACGATTCCAGCGTCTGTTGAACGCGCACATATGGAAGAAGAAACCACCTAGGGTTTCTCTGGCAAGCACAACCCTGGCTATGGGGAAAGGGGGGCTGGGTGTACCCAATATTTCTAAATACTACATAGCCACGAACCTATCCCAAACAGCAAGATTGCTGAGAACCCCAAACCGCCCCCTGTGGTACCAATTAGAAATGGCAACTGCTACGCCCCATGCACTATTAGACTTACTCTGGGTCCCGACCAGATCGCACCCACGCGACGCAAACATGCTGGTGACCACAAAACATTCTCTCCGCATATGGCACAGTTGGGCCCCGAAACTCCTAGCCCAACCTCTGATACTATACGCCCCCATAACTAGCCTAAAATACCTCACACAAGATCTGGTTCTAGACGGGTGGTTGGCACAGGGGATAGAGAGGGTATCCCAAATAATGGAGGGTAGTGAGATCAGACAATTCCTGACACTTCAGCGGACCTTCCTCATCCCGGGTAGGGAACTCTTTACCTACCTTCGCATTAAGCACATAATGCAGGGGATCAAACAAGCGACACCCAACACCAGAGAGCCGGGCTCGTTCGACACACTGTGCCTCAGGCGTAAGACCCAAGCAAAACCACTCTCTCTATGTTACCAAAATCTCCTGGAGATAGGCAAGCCTGATAAGTTAAGCTACATGGTACACTGGGAATCGGAACTCAATAGCACAATAGAGAGTAGTAAATGGTCCGCAGCGATGGCGCTTGTGAATCGAGCCACACACTGCCTGGACCATGTTGAGGCGGCCTATAAACTCTGGATGAGGTGGTATCTCACCCCACGGAGGCTGGCACTTATATATCCAGGGGCACAACAGGTATGCTGGCGCTGCTGCGCACAGACGGGTACTTTGAGCCATATCTTCTGGCAATGTCCAGTACTACACAATTTCTGGAGTAAGGTACAGGTGTTACTCCAAAGCAGTATACAGAAAAGGATACCATTCACACCGGAGGCTTACCTCCTACACATGCTTCCCAAATCACTGACTCACCCGGAGGCGGTGCTGACCACCCATGTTACCTTAGCAGCCAAACACTGTATAGCTTCCCTCTGGAAATCTACCTCAGCCCCGGAAATAACAGTGGTAGTTAAATCTCACGCAACACCTTGAGAAAATAGCGCATACGATCCAGGGCACCCTAGCACGATACAACCTGATCTGGTTCAACTGGTCTGGACAATGAGAAGGAGCCCGTGTCGTCCTAGGTCAGTGAAGAGAAAAACAGTAATAGGGGACTAACCCACCCCAGATGTACGAGGAAAAAGAAATACAGGGAAGCCCCCCTAAGCTAAACTCCCGCATAAGCAGAGGTAGCTGGAGAACAGTGGCTAAATGAGCCACCGCAAAACACAACAAGGTGTAGAGACATCTCAACCCACCACCCTTACCCTTACCCTGTTGCTGACCCCCCCCCCCTTAACCCCATCATCCCCAGCAGCTAACCACGCAGGCAATGAGGCAGATCTGAAAAAATTGCTCACACAACAATGTAACCATACAATGTATCTTGCGCAGCATGTGTGTGTAAGAATCAATAGTATTTGCACTCAACAATGTGACCTGCTTGTGTGTCATTCTTTACCCTTACCCCTTTCTCATTTCTGTACCCCGCTGTTTATATTTCCATGAAAAAAACCAATAAAAATGATACATTGAAAAAAAAAAAATTTTCATAAAAGCTGGCCAACTGGCCTGAATAAAATTATTCCTGTTGTACCCTTCTGTGACGAGCGCAATCTCGCCACATTGCATTGGAGAAGCCTTGTTGCTCGCCTGCTGCCTTTGGACTATGGCCCCATGTTAAAAGACATCTTTTTTACCTGCAGAAAAGATTTATTCGTTCTTTTCTGCCTGGTGTTCGGTAGATTCAATCTACCGAACAACCGCACAAATGACTGGACCACCTGGGAGATGGAGTGTGCCGGCAATTAGCCTCCCTGAAGCTGCGGTTAACCGCAGCTTAATTGACGAATGCTGGGTGGCCGCCATTCGTATCACGAACACGAGGTCGCAGCCATTTTAAACATGCGAATGCAAAGCTGTGTTCGACGCTTAATTCATGGAACTAAAATCGGACACAGTTTTGCGCGAACACCGCTGAAGCCGCTGACCTCCCTTCTTGATCGGTGAAAGTGCACGAACAGCCCGGCGTTCGGTAGTTTTACTGGAATATGTTATACCCCAGATAGGAATCCCATGGAGCCCATTCGCACGAAACTGACTGTGTAAAGACTTTGGCTCCATGGCGATTAAACTGTATTCGTGTGGTCTGAGCACCATTCGCTTAATAATGTGCGCTCAGACCTGAGCTTTCTGGGGATATGTTAAATGTATGCTTTTAATGTTATGTGTCTTACATAGTGTATTTTAATAGTAATTCATGTTTAGTATCCCCACGTGCATAATGGCGATTTGCCTTTGTCTTGGGAGATAATTGAATTACTTCTCAATTATCTCCAAGGCAGAGGGGAGAAAGCCAGGATGCATTGTGGGAATATAATGTGACTGTGTGTCCTATTTGTCTACTTGTCTGTCTTTTGTCACAGTCTTCCATTTGGTCCCCTAGGGGAGTGTCCACCAGGTGGGAGACCTGCATAAATACTGGGCAGGTAGCCCTCATTAAACA